CGGTCCGGCGCGTCGAATGCCGCGAAGATGCATGGACACCGGTTTTGTACGTGTCTAGCAACTAATCCGGTAGGGACAAACACGTCAGAATGGCCTCAACCGCCAGTACCCAGAGCTAACGGACCATTTGATCAACTATAACTTCCGCAAAAGGGGCCGCTCGAAGAACTTAATGCAGAACGAGATTTACTGTAACGCCGTGTGCGAGCTCGACACCATTATAATCGGGTTCCGGCGGGCGGGCATGAATTAGCAGTGCACAGCTGCGCAGCGTTATCAAGAGGCGCTGGGGGAGTGTGGCATGGGCGAAAGGGGCGCCGCGGATTTGGACGATGCGCGGGCTTGTAAAAGCGGAAGGTGATGGCGGAGCGGAAAAGGACAAGGCGGAGCAGGATGGGGTAAACATAGCTAGCGGAGCGGATATTTATGTACAAACGTTTCTTGGTTTTTTTTTTGGCTCGTAGGACACGTCGTCTTCAAGTCACACCTATAAACTCTCCTGGTTTTAACAGCCGCGCTAACCTTTTATAGCCCATTTTAATAGTAAAAAGGAAGCTATTCGTAATAATAACAACGCCCGCGATGGAAAACGACGATAACGAGTCTATACGTACCGTGGCGGTGGTCGTAACTGTGATCGCAGTTCTTTATTTGGTGCAAACGCACCTGGAAAAAGAGGATCAGCGCCAGGCAAAGTTACTCGAACAATACAAACCTCGCCTTCCGAAAGAAGCTATTCACGCCGGTGGTCACTCGTATGCCGCATATATCGCCCGCGATCTTCAAGAAGGCAGCGAGACTCGGTTCCGTAGCCTATTCCGCTTGAGGAAGGCTGAATTCAACCTCCTCTTGGACTGGCTGGTCACCAACGCTGGACTCCAAGGCACCCGATACCAACAGCCGGCCCATAAGTTAATGATTTTCCTATTAATCGTCGGGCAGGCCGTTACCCAAAGAGTCGCCTGTAACCTTTTTAAAATCGCCCAAAGCACAATCAGCAACGTTTTCCACGAGGTACTAGACTGTATGCAAAGGTTCCACCTGGCAGTCGTGCGCCTACCTCCTGATGGGTGGTTAGACCCGGCTATCGAACTTGACCCAATGGTCTCTGCGGGGTTGAGCGGGTGTATCGGAGCGATCGACGGGACGCACGTTTCGGCTTTTATCAGAGGCAGGGCACAAAGGCCGTGGTTCGATCGAAAAGGAAGGGTTTCGCAAAACGTCTTCGCGGCAGTTAAATCTGATATGGCGTTCACTTACGTGTTAGCTGGCGCCGAGGGATCTATGAGCGACTCGACTTTATTGGGGGAGGCGTTAAACAAAGGATTCCGGATACCGCGGGATAGATACTACCTCGCTGATGCCGGGTTTGGGTCGAGGCCCGGGATCGTCGTGCCCTTCCCCGGGACCCGGTATCATCTGCAGGACTGGAGGGAAGCGGAGGTGCCACCGGTTAACCGCAAAGAACTGTTCAATCTGCGCCATCCCCAAACGAGAATGATGGTTGAGCGAGCCTTTGGGCACCTGAAAAGGCGCTGGAAAATCGTCAGGAACGCACCGGCGGAGTACGACGTTGGCGCCCAGATAAAGATCGTTTATGCAGTGACGGCCCTGCACAATCTGACGTTGGCGGGCCGGGCGGAGGATCGGCCGGCGTTGGAGGAGGCGGATCGGGAGGCTCTTTCTCGCGCGCGCGAGATCTGCAGGCGAGAATTGACGGATCTGCAACAGGAATATATACGGCTAAGGCGTGCGGAACAGATGGCGATACAGTATAACGCGGATCAAGGCAGATCGAGGCCGTTATAGTAGGCAAAAGCGGCGGGGTTAAAGGGTTGCAGGCGGCCGTTATTGTTGGCGGGCGGTAAGGCACGGCAAAAAAAAGGATATCGTGATAGCTTCAATTAAATCTACGTAATAAACAACGATCCTTTCCCACGCATAAAAACAACAATATTACAGCCTTTGGGAGTCGGTTACATACGCTTCCCGGCCTCGCTCATCCAACGCCACCCAAAGTACGGCCTCTTCCGGTGTCCTTAACAATCTGGCGATGCGGATGAATTTTGAGGCATCGGGCCGGTCCTGGTAGGCCTGGGAGAAAGATCTAATTGCCTCCGCGACGGGGTTGACGGGGGCCGGCCTTTAAACCGCTTGAGCTAATGCCAGTATAGCATCAGATATCCGGTCCGCCATAGTTGAAGACGATGCCGGCGACGAGGATTTCGGTGCAGTACTCGCCGGCGAAGATAGCCTGTTTGCCGACGACCCGGAGACCCGGCGCCTCCTCCCGCGCAATACGTCAACGCTTTCGCTTTCCCTCGCGGCGCCCGTCACAATATCCGGATCCGTCGCCCTCCAATGCAATTGTTCGGCAGTGAATCGTTCGGCGGTAGGCGGCGGCGGTATCGAACTATCGGCCGGTATCCGTTGTGCCGTCGTGGAGGTGATCGGCCGCC